CTATATTCCCTTGGGAGTCATATTTCGTTTTGTAGACCCATTTACAGCCTACTGTTTTGGCTCCTTTAGGAATATTTTCTAAGTCCCAAACTTTATTGGTACTCATTGATTTCAATTCATCTTCCATGGCCTTAAGCCACTTTGATGAGTGGTCGCTTCTCATGGCTTCTTCAAATGAGGTGGGATCATCCCCCATCTGACATTCTTCTGTTTCATAAACTTCATAGTCATCAGTAATAGCTGATCTTCTTATTCTTTGAGACCTTCTAGGTGCCTCCGGCACTTGTTCCACATTTGGCTGTTGTTGTTCTTCCTCATGTGCATCATTTGGTTCTATAGGTTCCTCAAGGATAGGTTCCTCAAGGACAGGTTCCTCATGTTCATTCATTGTCGCCACGGGAGAACTTGCAACAAGTGTTGGCACTACAGTGTCCTGCACTGTCGGTGCAACAGCAGCAGGTAGCGTGAAGAATGGTTCTTCAACCATCGGAGTGGGTACATGTACCCGCTTCTCCTGTAGGCTGATTTCTCGTGCTACCATGCTCCCCCTGATCATGTTATCCTCCAAGAACACAGCGTGTCTTGTTTCTACAATCTTCGTATGTCTGTCAGGACAATAGAAGCGATATCCTTTCGATCTTTCTGGATAGCCAATAAAATGGCAGCTGACTGTCTTAGAGTCTAACTTTCCTATGTTTGGGTTAAACACTTTTGCCTCAGCTGGACAGCCCCACACACGCAAATGGTTGAGTGAGGGTTCTCTTCCTGTCCATAATTCATACGGTGTTTTAGGCACCGATTTACTTGGTACTCGATTAAGTATGTGAATGGCGGTTTTCAGTGCCTCCATCCATAAACTAATCGGTAATGTGGAGTAACTCATCATGCTTCTTACCATATCCATTAAGGTACGGTTACGTCTTTCAGCCACTCCATTCTGCTGAGGCTCCCCTGGTGTGGAGTACTGAGCAACTATGCCATTTTCCTGTAGGAACCTTGCGAATGGTCCTGGAATTTGGCCATATGGGGTATGTCGCCCATAGTACTCTCCACCTCGGTCTGATCGTACTATCTTGATTTTCTTATTGTGCTGATTTTCAACTTCAGCTTTAAATATTTTGAATTTATCCAATGCTTCCGATCTTTCTTTAATTGGATAAATATTGCCATAACGAGAGTAGTCGTCTGTGAATGTTATAAACGAGTCATAACCATCCACACTTTTCACAGGAAAAGGACCACATATATCTGTGTGGATTATTTCTAAAATACCCGTGCTTCGTTTGGCATCTTTCTTAATTTTCTTGACATACTTTCCTTTGATGCAATCAATACATTGTTCTAAATCTGAAAATTCTAAGTCTTGGAGAATTGATTCCTTAACCAATCGTTCCATTCTCCCCCTCGAAATATGGCCCAAGCGACAATGCCATAATTTCGAAGAGACAGTATCAATTCTCTTTCGCTTCTTAGTTACATCCGCAGATGGGGAATCATTCACATTCTCATCACATACATTGTTCGCATTCTCAGCAAGAGATAATAAATAAAGCTTGTCTTGTCGGAAGGCAAGACCAACACATTTATTATTAACTAGTATCTTACACTTGCCATCACCAAAATGGCAATCAATTCCATCATCATCAAGTTTCGAAACACTTATCAAATTTCTACGCAAAGAGGGAACATAAAGTACTTCTTTAAGTCTAAGTACAAAACCATTATTCAATTCTAAAGAAAAATCTCCAATGGCTTCAACATTGGCTTGCGATCCATTTGCAACTTTAATCGTTCTTTCTCCTCTTTGCAAGGTTCTCGCCCCACTTAACCCCTCAGAAAGAATTTGCAACATGAGTAGTTGCTCTCTGAATCAACCCACCAAGTGGATTTATCATAACATAAATACAGAGATTCATCTACAAATGTAATAAATTCATCACCTTTCTTTAGCAGAGATTTCGTGAAGTCCGGACAATCCCTCTTGTAGTGTCCCTTCTTGAAGCGGTGCTTGCAATCGATCTTTTTCTCGCTCCACCATACTGCTTGATTCTCGAGAATCACGGGGTTTCTTTCCACGTGAACTGGAGGAAGAGGTCTTATCCCACTTAGGTTTCCCTTGTGGTTTAGAATTCTTGCCATTAAAGTTCTTTTTCTTTTGTTGTCCTTCACAAAATGAGCATATTCACCTTGTGAGGACTTTATCCTCTCCTCTTCTTGAGCACACATTGAGATGAGTCTTTCTATGCCCCATCTTTCAGTGCATATTATAGTTCACAATGAAGGTGTCATATTCTTTTGGCAAAGAAGCAAAATCAAATGAATCAGAAATCCTCCTCCTTCAAATTCATTTCTTTTTAGCTTGGATGCCGTAGTGTTCATCTTCAAAATGTGCTCTCTTATGCTACCACCAGTGAATTTCTCATTCACAAGCTTCTTAATCGATGAACTTGTTGTGGCCTTGGTAGACCCGAAGAAATCGACTCTTGATTTTCTCAAGATATTCTTTGGCAGTAGCACATTCAGGGATTGAGCCCCTTATCTGTTCTTCTATGGTGGCTTTGGCTACCAACAGGCACTTGCGGTTGGAGAGAGTCCATTGCCTATGTTCAAGGTCATATTTCATTCTTATTTCAGCATGATCACGCTTTCGAGCAGCGAAATCAGCGTCAGTTTCATTGTCACCTCTCACCGGGTCCTCTGGCTCAGTAGGACACGGTGAGGTGATGGCAAAATCGACCTCTCCCAACGCAAGTTCCAATTCATACTTCTCCCGCCACACACGGTGATTGGTTCCGTTGAGTGTCGGGATGTTGGCAATATTCACAATGCATTTGCCTCCTGAAATCACACCAAAGTAAGTAAGAAACATTTATACATAAAATTCCATGCTTTAACTCAACGTTGGTCAAATTAAAACTTATTATTCATCCATGCAAACATTTTACATCACCGTTGGGCAGAAGTAAAATTAATGCACAATTTCTTATGGATCAAAATTATAATATTGTTATTAACAACGTTGGTCAGAAAATAACAATATCATAATCGCATTAAAATTATCAGAAATTCATTTCTCTTAAAATTAAATTATCCCGTTGGTTCAAATTTAATCAAAGAGAACAATAATTATCATGCACAGCGGAAACATTAATAATGTTTTCATATTATTATTTTCCAGAAACACTAAAATTCACTGTTTTCTGAGCAAAATATCGTTGGATAAAATTTGCACAGAAAATTATGTCAAAATCATTCAAATTCATCAAAATATGCATTTAAAATTGTTTCTGGAAAATAATAAGGAAAATTTTCTTGTTCTTCTTTTCATTCAAAGTTGTCCAAAAAGCGCTGAACTGGCTCAAACCAAGATTCTGCTGGCGCCGAGCCGCACTCAAAGCCGCAAACTGGGTTTGGGCTGCGCCAGCGCCAGCAGTTCGCTTGCCCCCTTTGAGGCCTCGACTTGGCCCAGCGCATCTCGGGCGTTCGATCTGATCCGACGGACGAGCGGCCGTTTCGCGAGGATCAAAACCCAGGCCACGGCCGGCGCCCTGGAACCCTAGCCATTTCGGCTCTTGCTCTCTCTCTCTCCTTTCTCAGTCGCAGCAGCGAGGACAGCCGCTACCGAGCAGCCGCGAGCGAGGAAAGCAGAGCGGGCGATCCTTTGCGCCGTCGCCGGCCCCCTCGCCGGCGCGCGTGCTCCCCAACGGGTGAGCACGCCGCCGTCGAGCGGCCTGGCCGCGGCGCTACCTTGGCCGAGCCCGGCGAGTTCGCGCCCCGGCTCGGCTTCTTCTTCGGCGCCGGCGGAAGAGCCGGTGCGCTTCTTCTTCTTCTTCCGCGCCGGTGGAGGTTTATCCCCGACGAACGGCGTGTTCTTTCTTTTCTCGTTCTTCCCCGTCGCTTTCTTCCCCATTCCGACGCACGGGAATTAGGGTTAGGGTTTGGGAATGGGGTTTTTACTGTGTTTCTTTTGGCTTGTTCATCCGAATGGGATTAGGGTTAGGGTTTCAGTGTGCCGCCTTTTGTTCTTTTCCCCTTTCCCCTTTCGGATTTGATTTCTTTCTTCTTTCTTTTCTTCTCACTCGTTCACCCGAAAAGGGGATCTAGGGTTAGGGTTCGGTTGAACCCGATTTCCCCGATCCGTGTTTACCTTTGTGTGATTCGAGATCTAGATGGTAGGGTTCCTTTTCTTTCTTCTCGGATTGAACCGATTGGTGATGGGATTCTTTCTAGGGTTAGGTCTTAGTTCGGTTTTTCTGTTTTCTTTCCCGATCCGCATCGTATTGGTTTGATTTCTTGTCGAAACCTGGCTCCGATGCCATTGTTAGGTTTAGGGTTCTTAGGTATGTTCATCGGATCGGTTTTCTTAGCACGATAATAGATCAATCGGATTTCACGAGAGAGATTGAGAGATAGGTGATAAGTAGCAAACCGTCAAATGCCGTAGTTGTTGAAGCTCGGCCCGGGGTTTCGTTGTTGGATGCCATCTGTGGCCGGCAATGACGGTCGGTGGAGAGTGAGTCGGCGCTGTATGGCGTCCTCGGCGGCGATGTGAACGTCGGGTGGCGTTGCCGGTGTCGATGGCACTTCCGTCATTGGTAGCGCCCCTACTTTCGATCGGGTCTAGGGTTTAGGATGTCGGTGGGGTGACTGGCGGCGCGGTGAACCTCGATCGCGAGCCCCGCCCCCACCTTCCTTTATATAGCTGCCAGCGACGGGGGCCCACCAACCATGTAGGGTTGGGCGCCCCCGATCAGGGCGCGAGGACAAGGCCCAGTTAGGCCGTTGGGCCTAACTGGTGGGAGATCAATACTAACACTGAGATGGCTCCATGCATGCATGGCGCGCGTCAAAGCTGAATACGGAGCTGACATGGTCACATATGGTTCTGTGACTCATCGGCCATACTGCACTTATTGCTCGATCGCTCGCAGCGTAGGAACGCGAGAGCCAACGCCACGATCGCCGCGTTCCCGGTGCTGGTGTGCGTGCTCCTGTTCGGGATGCAGAACGTGGTGGACATGGAGCTGGGCAAGCCCCAGTTCCGGTGCGGCTGCGCCTGCGTGCGCCGGGACACCGGCACGGGCGCCTGCGCCGCCACAGAGTGCGGCATCCAGTACTCCACGCCCACGCAGGCGCCCATCTGCACCGTGCCTACGCCGCAGCGGTGGCCGGCGCTGGTGCAGGTGCCGGACGCCCAGGCACACCGGCTCTGGTGCCAAGCCTCCGGCTCCGAGCAGGACTGCCCGGTCACCGTGCTCCTCACCGGAGGCAACCTCCAGCTTTCTCAAGGTATAATCATCATAAATACAATGCTGCTAATAAGCACACAAAAACAGATCACTCCGAGCTGGAATAATGTGCATAAAAACTAATCTGTTGCATTTGCCTCCAAAAAATGGAATTTTTGGCAGCACTTGGAATGGGGATGTTCCCAACTTTGACACCTGGTGCTATTGCTACCAATTCTTCCAACTTTTTTGATGACTTGTCAAGTGTAGTCCCTGTGAGTAGTTGCTTCCAGCTTCCATTGCATTGATCAGCCGTCAGCTGAAAACAATCTTGGTACCTTTTTGTTTTCTGATCTGAATTCTGGTGGTTCTGAATTTCTCTCCTTCCAGCTGGGTTCAAGCGCGCCACCTGCACATGTACTCTACGTAGAGCCGGCCTTTGCTCCAAACGAGACCCTGTACGTGCTCCAGCCGCAGTGTCTGTGGAATTCAGGCACTGCTTCAGCGACTTATAATGGGTTGCCACTACAGTACTGTAAGACAATTACTATATATCTGTGTCTGCGTTTGTGGGAAATCTCGGGAGCAGATTAATTAATTCCATGAGCAGTAACAACTGTCTTTAATCCTATCTTCTTTAATTTGTTAAATGGAACAGATGTACAGTGTGTTCAAGCTCTGCCGCTGTGGTGCGACAATTCATCAGTGATAAACCATCAACTATTTAACGGTTACAAGGGTGCAAATGAGTGGGGCACATCAAACGAATTCCTTGCTGGTACAACTATCCAAAAACTTGTTTATTTTATTTTATTTAATTAAGGAAACAGAACTATGCCCACTGCACTAAAACATGTGGCTTTGCCTCTGGGACACCATTATGTCCAATATTGACACCATTATTGCCCAATATCGAATATAAGGGTGTCCATTAAATTGACAAAACCATCTTCCTTTAGTTTTAAGAGTTGTTAATTGAGAACATGTCTTAACTTACTACACATTTTTATAGGTTATGACTTCCTTGATACAAGCATGACAAGCCTACAAGTATATATTTCGTACAACTCCACCTTCAGCAGGGACGACGACGACGACGGTTCCATGCCAGTTTTGCGTGTTCCACGGTTGGTTAACATGGTACTTTTTCTTGCCTATATACAAATTTCTCAATATGTATGTAACTAAATTATGAAGTGAGGAATAGCTTGTTCAAATGAGATATTTCTTAATAATCAATATATTCTAGAAAGCAAAGTGCCGCACAACCAGCGTACTGAATAAAAAATGGTCCTTCTTTAACAGCAACTTTTCTAATTTTTTACATGCTGTTTTTGGTTGTCCAATGGCTGGTTCCAGTTGTTTCATTCATTAATTATGTCCCAAGAGAACAAAAAAGGGGGGAAAAAAAGATAAGCCTTTTCAGGTTTTCCAGTGGCACGATGAAGCTGCTTCTATCTTCTATCAATTTGCATTGTAGGCATCCACGGCATATCTGAAGCTTCTTCTAGGAGCAGATGCAAAAATGGACTTAGACTATTTGAAGGAGATGCCAAAACCTGAAACTAAAATGAGGATGGACCTGACACCTCTTCTTGACCCACTATTCTTTACTTGGGTAGTTCAACTCCTCCTTCCGGTGAGTTTATTTGGTTATCATCATCTACATCCATTGCATAAAGATACATTGAATCTATACATAAGCTTACCTACTATTCGTTCACTTCCAGGTAACAGTTACACTTCTTGTTTACGAGAAGGAACATAAACTGAGACTAATGATGAAAATGCATGGGCTAAAGAATGCTCCTTACTGGTTGATAACTTACGCCTACTTCTTGTGCCTATCAACAGCTTACATCACCCTCTTAGTGATTTTTGGGTCCCTTTTAGGTACCAATAATTAACTCCACGTACGTAAATTCATATTAACACATGTCAATATGCTTGTAATGCAGTACAGAGAACTCTCCATGGTTTTGCAGGGCTAGACATATTCAGATTAAATAGCTACGGAGTACAATTCATATTCTATTTCACATATATCAATCTCCAGATTGTGCTTGCATTTTTGTTCGCGTCTTTCTTCTCAAGTACCAAGACTGCTAGTGGTTAGTAAACCAAAGCTGAAATTCCGTACCCTTATATATATGCTTCTTTTGATGGACTAATCTAATCCGGGTCATTTTTTTCTGTGTTACATACAGTAATTAGTTACATTTATGTATTTGGCTCTGGCCTTCTCGCAGATGCGCTTTTTGTGTACTACATCCAGGATACCACTTTTCCATGTAACTGAATTTCGCTGTGTCATGCTTTCTGAACTTGGAAATGCTTCAAATAACCACATCGATGGTCATGACTCATGACAAACTCCTGTTTAATTTGTTTCAGATAAATGGCTTGTGACGATGGAGTTTTTTCCTGCATTCTCCCTCTACCGAGGAATATATGACCTTGCAGGGTATGCCTACGCAGGGCGTTATCTGGGAAATCCTGGGATGCAATGGATGGACTTAAACGATCCACTGAACGGGATGAAAGATGTTTTGCTCCTAATGTCTGCCGAATGGATACTTCTGATTCCTGTGGCGTTTCTACTGGACCACTGGCCTGTCTGGCAATGGCATCCTCTTTCTCTCTACAGATTGCTGTCGAAGAAGCATTCACAGCTTTCAGGAACACTAAACGAAGTGAACAGCAAATCCACGAGGGTGTCGATTGATATGGCAAAGCCTGATGTTTTCTTAGAGGTTAGCATATCAATTAACTGAATATCTTTCAGTTTTTTTTCGAAACGAGGTCGCACCCCATTTCCATTGATGGCAACGGAAATACAAAATTTTTAGAGAGATACAGACGCAGATTAGAAAGCAGACGTGACCGCGACAGTTGATAGCTATTACAAGAGCTAAAAACACGCCTGATTCAGGCAGCAAGCTAACGACAGTACCAGATTAAAGCTAGAAACGAGTATCAACTAAGACCAACTACGAGAACCTTAAGGAAGCCAGCATAGTTTAAGGCACAAAAACATGATAACAGGTGCGTAGAGCCATCACAGCATCTTGATTGCTTCAGTAATCATTCAGCTTGCTCCTCTTGATCATCCTCCAGAAGTTGTTGCTTCCTCTTCGTCGACTTTTTGTTTAAGAGCTTCAACGCGATCTCCATCATCAGATTGACGCCACGCACCAGAGCTTCCTTGTCAGTTTCCAGAAACAACCCTGCCCAGTAACACATGAGCGAACATGCAAAACATACAATAGTGATTGGATTCGTTATTTTTTTTCTTCAAAGCAGATATCATTCCTAGTTCTCCAGATAGCCCAGCATATAGCTGCAATGCCCAAAGTATGAAACTTCTGTCCATTGGGTAACCATTTTTCGCACCAATCCCAGCATTGCTGAATATTTCTAGGGACATTATCAGCACCAATGGCATAAGCCACCACTGCCCACACCACTTTGGCAGTACTACATTGAAATAGCAAATGAGAAATGCTTTCCTCTTCATCACAACAATGACAAGTTGGGTTACCAGCCCATTTTCTTCTAATCAAGTTATCCTTAGTTAAAATAGCATTGTTCACGACTAACCAGAGAAAGATTTTGATCTTTGAGGGGATCTTCCCCTTCCAGATTTTCTTATGATAAGGGCCAACATCATTTGAAGAGAGAGCATTATAAACAGATTTGACAGTGAAAGAACCTTTATTACCAAATTTCCAAAGGATCACATCATCAGTAGAATCTAGAATTATATTAGAAACATCTCTCAAAATATTATTCCACTGCTTTCTAAGATCATCCACTAACCATCTAGTGAAGGTAATCACTGAAGAATCCATTTTAACAGAATACAAGGAAATGTCAGGTTGCTCACACAATTTGAACAGATTAGGATATAAAATGTTTAGAGGTTTCTCATAGAGCCAAGTATCCCTCCAGAATAATGTTGTTTTACCATTTTTTACTTCAATTTTCCTGCCCTGAAGATAGATATCCCTAACTTTCAACAAATCAGACCATATAGGTGAATCATTCTGCCTGTGACTCATAGTGCAGATGGAGGCATTCCTAAGATATTTATACTTTATGATGTCTTGCCATAAACCAACCCACTTTTCAAGTTTCCACCACCACTTGCACAAAAGGCTAACATTCATCTTTCTAATATCCTTAATTCCCAAACCACCTTTCTTTTTGTGTTTACAAATCCTTGTCCATTTAACAAGATGATATTTTCTTTTTGTACCACCTCCTTGCCAGAAAAAAGTTCTCCTGATCTTATCTGAAGCTTTAACAGTTGTTTTCGGCAAAAGGTAAATAGACATATGATAAAGCTTGTGCTAATCAAAGTCGACCTGCCAGCTATAGACATCCCTTCCAAACATCAAGTTTTTTTAGCATTTTTCTCAATTAGAGGTAGCCAATCCCTCACATGCAATCTGCTGGGGCTAACCAGTACACCAAGATACTTAATAGGGAATATCTTTCAGCTGGAAGATAGTTCTGTTTCTTTTTTACTACCGGAAACAGTGGCTTTGTCGTGTGCCACAAGCACTCGGCAAAAACCAAAAAACACTCGGCAAACAGCACACGGTATCTACAGTGTCGGCAAACGTTTCTTTGCCGAGTGTTTTCTATAGGGCACTCGGCAAATATTTTGCCAAGAGCTGAAACCGACGCTCGGCAAAAAAAAAATAACGCGACGGCGCGGAGACGGTCACGGCGTGTTTGCCGAGTGTCCCAGACCTGACACTCGGCAAAGCTGCCTTATTTGCCGAGTGTCAAACTCCGGGACACTTGGCAAAACTGCCTTCTTTGCCGAGTGTTAACTCTGGGATAGTTGGCAAAGCTGCCTTCTTTGCCGAGTGTCAAATACCTGACACTCGGCAAAGACTGGCCCAGAACGTACAAATGTTGGCTTCTTTGCCGAGTGTTACAACGCAGACACTCGGCAAAGAAGCCATTTTAGATCCAGAATGCACACATTTTTGCCACGTGTCCCTCTTTGCCGAGTGTCACTAACCGACACTCAGCAAAATTCTAACGGCCGGCACCCTGGTTGACGGCCGCACATGTGGCGGTCTTTTGCCGAGTGTCTATTCTTTGCCGAGTGTCTTGTTGTTGTTTGCAGAGTGTTTTATTTCCTGCACTCGGCAAATAAGTTTTTTGTCGAGTGTAATTATTTTGCCGAGTGTTTATCTGTAGACACTCGGTAAAGATATTGTTTGCTGAGTGCCCGAAGGAATGCACTCGGCAAACCATCAGGCACTCGGCATATATACTGTTTCCGGTAGTGTTTGCTTACAGAACATTACTTTCAGTGCGAGGTGGTGGAACGATTACTTAAGAAAGTGGGCAAGAGGAGGAGCATGGTCGTCTGCCATAATATGAAGAAATTATACCCCGGAAAGAATGGAAACCCTGACAAGGTTGCAGTCAGAGGCTTGTCACTTGCTTTGCCTAGAGGGCAGTGTTTCGGGATGCTTGGTCCCAGTGGGTCTGGCAAGACATCCTTCATGAACATGGTCAGTATTGGTAACTCAGAATCTATCCGAGATTTTAATTTTATGCTGTTTGTTAAATTAGTTTTATAATATGCCAAGTAATCTTATGTCAGGGTCACAGCGATGAGAGATCACTGAGCTCTTCAATTTTGTCATGAATCATGGACTTTTAGTTTCTTGTTAAATATAATGTTTCATCCTAGTGCAACATATTTTAAGGGACTACAACACTTATGACATCTGACAGTGCTTGTGGGCTACATATGCAGATGATTGGCCTTCAGATGCCATCATATGGAACAGCTTACATAGATGGAATGGATCTAAGGAAGGATATGGATGAAATATATGCAAATATTGGTGTATGTCCACAGCATGAGTACGATCAAAACTAACTAGTCCAACACTTTTTCGTTTTTTGAAGGCGATTTTGTCAGTGCCAGTCAACAAAATCTGTCCAATGTGTGTCTGCAGCCTACTTTGGGAGACAATGACAGGAAGGGAGCACCTAATGTTCTACGGTCGGATGAAGAATCTCACAGGTGTCGCTCTAACAAAGGTATCTAACTCAAATTCATGTGCAACGGAATTCAGTAACTATATTTCTTACAGTGGAAATGTGGAATACATTTTTTCATACTTAGTAGAATTCATTTTTCTTAACTCGTGACATATATATATGCTCCCTCAACCAGGCCGTGGAAGAATCCTTGAAGAGTGTAAATCTGTTCCATAGCGGGTTTGGCGACAAATCTGCAAGCACGTATAGCGGTGGCATGAAAAGAAGGCTCAGCGTCGCCATCGCCCTCATAGGCAACCCTAAAGTACTCCCATCTGCCATAGTTCTACACATCCATTTCCCTCCACACACGCACAAATAATCATTGCAAAATTTCAGAAGTGCTCCACCTGTCATGAGTAAATTCAGTTTCATTACACATTAATTAGGTTGTTTACATGGATGAACTGAGCACCGGACTGGACCCGGCATCAAGGAGATACCTGTGGAACGCCGTTAAGCAAGCAAAGAAAAACAGCACCATTATCCTTACCAGTAAGTAATCCTTTGCTGTATTAAGTTTCATTCAGTGATGATGCTTGATGCATCTTCTCCATATGCAATTTCAAATAAAACCAACAAGAAATTAACCACTTCGCATTCAACCGAGAACGTTATCAGCGCATTCAATGGAGGAGGCTGAGGAGTTGTGTGATCGCGTTGGTATCTTTGTCGATGGCGACTTCCATTGTCTTGGAACTCCTATTGAGGTATGGCACAGGAACTCACCTGACGGTTGCTCATGTTTTTTTAAGGCGACCTATTGCTTGCATCAAGAAGAAGCTAAGGTGACAATGTTGATGCAGCTGAAGGCGAGGTATGGTGGCACATGGACGCTGACGATCATGACTGAGCCATTACACGAGGGCGAGGTGGAGGAGCTGGTGAACCAGCTCTCTCCTGGTGCTTCCAGAATCTACAGTCTATCTGGCACGCAGAAGTTCACCTTGCTTCGTCGGGAGGTGGGGCTGGATGGTGTATTCAGGGTGGTGGAGATGGCGCGGCGTGCATTCCCAGTGCTGGGGTGGGGTGTGGCAGGTGCCACACTGGAGGACGCCTTCATCAGAGTGGTCAAGGACGCGCAGGTGTTTGACGATATGTCCTAGTTGGTGGATGTCTACAGATGAATGCAACTGCTAGCTATCGTAACATAGAGCAAATGGCAATTTCTTTTATTCTTTTATATAGTGAGTTTTGAAAAACTTACATATTTATTCTTAGTGGAGTAGAATAAGGCTACGGATGTGAATTAACCCTCTTTGGTTTTTAATTTAAGTCATTTCCACTATCTGTAATGTTTACTGCTTGAATTTTGTAGGAAGCTACGGAAACTATACAAGCAGAACCTGTTGCTGATGGACAGGAACCAATAACTAGTGTTGATGTTGTTTCCAAGGTCCTCCACCTCTCTCAGGGCAAGGTCCCCTCCCAAGGCAGCGGTAACACGTTTTTTTTGAAGAATGCTGGTATCCCAACAAGCTCCACCAGAACAGAGATATCGGAGGAGAGAACGTTTTGGGAACAGCTTGTTGCTGAACAAAAAAGTTCCGATGCCCTCATCGAACAAGTGGATGAAGTAAAGAGAAAGACAGAAAAGACTGAAAGAGAATTTGAGGAGTTCAAGAAACAGCAACATGAGAAGTACAATAAGCTCAGTGAGGATATCATGCGGTTCAGCTCTTCTTTTGGTAGCTCTCAGTCTTCAACTCCTGTGGACTGATGCAGTGAACATGTGTGGTTTGATGTGTGGACTCGTGTGCCGGTTTGATGCGGTAAAACTCTATCAGTAGCTTGCTACTGATGTGTAAACTGTAAATTGTTGTTATTTCATTGCTAGGTTGGATACTTATGTCGTTATTTTTTTTAATAATTATGTAGTCATTCTGTGCAGCAGTGATGATCTCGAATTATTTTTCTGATGAAATGATTATGCTCCATCGTGAACCCTAGCACCTGCTCCAGACGGACTACTTGGCACTCTTCGCACCTCGATCTACTAGTAATTGCTCTTCGCGATCTCCTGTGGGGTGAGCACAACACCTTCTCACAATGAGGTCTCTCCAGAGCACCGCATAATCTCTGTGCATACTACGATGGAGCACAGAAGCCTCCAAACCGTCTAGGAGGTGGAAACCTCCAAAAAATAACTAGCATACCTTTGTACCAAGCTTTGCCCTAGCTCGATTTAGGAAGTAGAGGCTTGTCGTGTTCCCAAGGTGAAATCCCTGGAAGAAAACACATACCTTCAGACCACCTTTAGTTAGCTGTCCAGTGGGGAACCTCAGTTGGGGATGATGATCCACCCGTTTAAGTGGGGTGGTGGATCAGGTACTGGCTTTACTAATGGTGGTGTTGATTTTGACAAACTATATGGTAGGATCGGTGAGTACAGTGGCTTGAAACACAATAGGAAGCCTCCCTCCTTACTACCACCCTTAGAAAAATCAGAGCACCTAAGCCATCCATTGTGAGCAAACCAAACACTAAAGATGGATTGCAACTAAAAGAATATAAAAAAAATTCATGTACTCTGCAAAATCCACGTTGATTCAATAATAATATAAAAGAGAGATAAAATTCAGAAAAAGAGACATATGTACCATATATTACATACAAAAGAACATATGTACAAAAAATTACAGTTAAGCATAATTACTACTATATAAATTAGCATTTATATATAATAACAAGGCACAAAGTGTTCAGCTCATAGGCTAGCAGGCTCATGGTGGAGCCATGCGGCGCCTGGGTTTCTTCTATTTATATATATATATATATATATATATATATATATATATATATATATATATATATATATATATATATATATATATATATATATATACACACACACACACACAATACTCCCTTTGTCCCAAATTATTAGACATTTTGATATTTCTAGATTTATAGCTTTTATTATAGATCTAGACATAATATATATCTAGATGGGTAGCAAAAAACTATAAATCTATAAATGTCAAAACGTCTTATAATTTGGAATTGAGGGTGTTTACATGTAAACCTAGCTATGTTAGGCTAGTTTGTTTTTCAAAAGAGTAGTATTCCATGCTCTTTTCTTCTATTGGTAAAAATACTAATTTTATACTCCTAATGTATCTTGGATTAATGTTAGTTCATATACTAGTTTCTCCCAGACTAACAAAACCTCGTAGCATCTGTACATACTTTATTTATTGTACGAGTATACGCACATATACGTATCCAGGTACCGTACTTGGATTAGTATTGATTCATATACTAATTTTTCTAGACGAAGATGGCCTCGTAGCATCTGTACATTATTTTTTAAGGGAAACTGTTGTACATACTTTATTATTGTACGAGTATATGCACATATGTACTCCAGGTACCGTACTAATACATATTTTAATTCTAGACTACAGAACTTACTCACACAGATGGACATACATGAAAGTTCAAGTTTTTTTTTTTTTTTGACAAACCAAGCGGTAAAACTTTATTGATTGAACATCATTCGATAAAAGCTAGGGGGATCATCATCCTAGATACAATAATTTTTCGAGATCATAGCCTGTCTTGCCGGATCATGAGCCACTTGGTTAGTTTTCTTGCTGCAGTGTTCAATGGATATTTCCTCGAAACCAAACCAGATTGCACTGCACTCAAACAAAGCGAATCACGGTGAGAGGAATATAAAGCGCAGTAAACAAATATATGGATCCTACTAAGATCCGCTAAATTAAACTAGGTCACCTGGTATAAGATCATATGGCATTTTATCAAAGGAATAGCTACTCCTAGGATTTATACCTAAGAGCATCTCCAAGAGTTTCTAAAATCTACTCCTAATCATGATTTTTTTGCAAGGTTGAATAAAATCCGACAACTCTTTATCTCAACTCCCAATCTTTTCGCACAATTGATCCAATGGCGTGGAAAATATAAGCACGTGTATGTATCGGTCAATCCGGAGGTGAAAGGATATGGGGAAGAAAAAGAGAAAGGACAGGGTTTCCAATTCAAATGTAAAAGAGAGAAAGAAATTATAAGGCTATTGAAGGATCGAAACGGGCGACCAGAGGGGGGTTGAATGGTCGCGGAAGCCAAAAATTTATAACCCTTCCCCTAAACACAAAACCTGACTAAATCACGTTTTTTTAAATCTAGACAGAACTCTATGTACCTAGTAAACCTGATGTGGACGAAAATCCGTAGCTCCGATCGACCTAAAAATTTGTTAGATTAAACTAGATGAAATTACGAAACTAACCTAACTGGAATCACGTCAATCTGACTTACGGATCTTGAGATAAAAATAAAACAAGCAGACTATGTCAGATACTAACGAGAATTGTAAAGAACAAATCGAAATGCACAAGATCAATCATTATAGATGAAAGATTAAATTGAGTAATTGAACTTACAAAAGTGCATCTAGCCTCCGCCCGAACATCCTCCCTCTCTTAATCGGAGAGATCAACAAAAACCTCTCACTAAAATTCAAACCCTAGGCTAGACCGGAGAGAGGAATACTGAACCGTGGAACCCCGGGGCATGAGTACTGTTCACGGGTACTGTTCACGCGTGAATAGTAACTCGCCGGGAGTCCAAAACGTCGTCACCTTCTCAACCCTAGGTGCCACATATTTATATCTCCAAAGGGTGGCACGACCTATTTTCACATAACCCCCTACGCTAAATAAATCCAACGTAGGGGCGTAAATTCCAATTATGTCCTCCATGGCAAATTCCGCGATGTCCGCGATCCCTCCATCTCCGCGATGTGATCCTCGCGATGTCGCCGCATGACCATCCGAAATCGTATCGCGATCGCCAGAATTTCCATCTTCGGCCAATGCACGCCGCACGAGCGTCCCGGTACGATGCATGGCTTTGTGGCTCAACCAGCGAACCCCGGATTTTGTGGCATAATCTGAAAACCTCCCTCGACGTCCTCCCGCCGTGTAGCCAGGTACAGTAGACGTACACCGCACGATCGCCTGTCCCTCGAACGCAAGCCTCGATCCGCCCTTCTCCGCCCCCGCGGTTTTTCGACGCGGCATCCTATCTTCGTTCTTCACTCGTCGCCGCATGTACCTTGTCTCCACCTGTCACCTGCAACCACAACCTGCCAAGAGACACGTCACACGCACACCGTGTTGTCAATCGCTCATCACCAAGGTGCTAGCCCACCGGCATCTCAGTTATCGTGATTTGAAGATAGTTTATGATTATTCCTAGTGCAAAATTGCCTTCAATTTTTTTTCTTTGACGGAACAGGAGGAGCAAAAGCCCCTACTGAAATTTTATTGAATAAAACAAAACAAAACAAAGAATACAGAGGTTTTCAGGAAACAAAAAAGGTACAAAAGTAAATAAAGAAAATTACACAAAGGTTTCTAGCCATTGACCAATGTGAGAAAGGTATTTTGACTTTACCCTTAGGATAACTAAGGCAAATTCCTGCTTGAAGACAGTCTTGCAATGATGCAGTGAGGGAGCAAGATTTCTGAAGATAGCAGCATTACACATAGTCCAAATTGCCCAACAACATTGTGATAATCAATTCCATGAAGAAAGGAACCCGAAGTTGAAGTATAAAGCGTTGTAACAAACCCTCCAGATCTGATGAATTAGGAACCATCAAGTTCAGGCTGTACCAACAGCTCACAGCTAGGGGCAGTGAAAGAATAAGTGAAAAAGATCCTCTTCATAACCCAAAGAGCAGGAACCACAAGAATAATCCTCGAGATACATATTCTTGCGCTTCAATAAGGCTCCAGTACTCAGCCTGTCTTTTACAGCCTGTTCGCTTGTTGGTTTCAGCCAGGATTTATCAGCCAACCAATAGTGTTTTCCTCTCACAACAAACCAGCACCAGCCGGACTTATCAGCCCAGAAACTAACCAGCGAACAGGCCGTTAGAAGAAGCTAAAAAAAGAACTTTCTCTTGTTTTGACATGATGACTTCCATAACCATTGATAACCTTGGTGGACTTGACGGTGACTAATTAAATGCTTTGTAGTGTTGGAGGTGAAAGTAGAAGAACCCCAAATGTAAGTCCAAATGTTCTCAGCTTGTGACAGGTTGAGACTCTGAAGCATCAAGGAAAGCTCCAAGAATTGAACATGGGCTTCTTGTGATAAGGGTAAGTGAAACAAATCCTGAAATTGTTGGGCTTGGGTGGCTGACTGAAGATATTCTTGCTGAAAGAAAAAAACTCTGGATAAGTCTGACACCAAATATTACCCTCCCAAAAGTCATGCCAGAGTAAGCAGGTTGCACCATTCGGTAAAGAAACCACATATATACCTTTGAATTGTTGGAGCAACTTAAGAACATCACGCTACCAAAAGGAGCCCTTTTGTGGACCTTGAAGAATAGACAGTTTATTGCCAGCATAATATTTCCTCCAGACAAACTGAACCCAGGGAATATCTTTGTGATTATAAAATTTGTGCAGGTGTTTGAGGAGGTGGCTTTCATTTTGGACTCTGAGATTGATGACATTCAATCCTCATTCTGTCTTTGGCACACAAACCATTGGCCAGGCTGCTTTGGGTGGTTTCCAGTGCTTTCGAAACTTGTCAATTTGCATAATAATGCCTTCAACTTTTATGAGCGGCGGGATATTGAAAACGGTTTGAGAAAAGCAACAAATATGCTCCCTACTTTTTTTTAGCGACTTGAAGAAGTCCTTGATTTATCAATTGATTTTTAGGGACTATTAGAGATGTTCTAGTTAGCCTTTTGATTTTCCTTTATCCCTAGGGTTTGTACCTTTCTTCTCTATATCAGTAGAAATAATAGGCACATATTCGAAGGAACACTACTGGGAACAGGATCAAAGGCACGAAAAACACTCGGCAAACTCTTTGCCGAGTGTAGGGCACTCGGTAAAATTTTTAACAACAAAGAATCTTTGCTGAGTGTTTTTTGTCGGGCACTCGGCAAAGACTTTGCCGAGTGCACTTTGCCGAGTGCCCAAAAAACACTCGGCAAATATTTTTCAAAAAAAAAAAAAAAAAACAGCACCACTACGCCAGCCCCTCCACCAACAGCTCCGCCGCCATTGCCGGCGAGCTCATCGCGTCCTCGCGCTCGACTGGCTCGCGCAGCTCCTGCGCCTGCCACCACGCCCGCCGCCGCCACGCCCGCCGCCAACACGCCACCACCACCACCACGCCTCCCGCCGACGCCACTAAGATGCACTAAGATTTGCGCTGGTGTCAGAATGAAAGAATAGCCACACGTTCAAGTGTATGAGATTTGTTTATCATGTCGATAAGTGTGATCCGATCTGATCCGTATTTGAGTCGTAGGCACCAATGTTGATTAACTCGATCACATTCTACACCGATGCTTCTCGTGCAGACTAAGACATGCATGGTGACGTAGCGGCGTGTGTCATGGAGGAAACTCCAAGCACCGAGAACATTGTTTTTTTCCTATCGACGAGAGACGACTAGGAGATTACAATCGTACTTGTACGTATACCTTCTCTTGTGCAAGTGTAACACTGATGGAGCAGAAAAGAAAATAGTAGTATAATTTTATACTCTTGCGGATCATGTGCTAGTAGAAAAATTGCATTCATTGAAGTTTTGAAGGGTGGTGACTCATGTACGAGAAGAACTTTGAGTGTTGCAATTATATGTAATATATTTATTATATTGATGGTTTCCTGAAAATATTGCAATCATGTTGCTCGTATTTATGCGTGGTGTCAGGGGCGGATCCAACGGTGGGGCAGGGGAATTCTATAGTGTAGGGAGGGTTGAGACAAGATCGAACAGTAGTTGGAGGTATGTATTGTTCAGCCCCTCCTAAAATTTTTTCTGGATCCGCTGCTGCTTGGTGTATTTTCTATCAAATAGCAACATAATAGTAATACAAAAAAAATCATTTATCATTGATCCTGTCTACATGTAAAGCATTAAACACCTTGCAGACAATGAAATAGATCATGTGTTGTATGCCCTGTCTCTTTAGTTTGTTCTGTATGACAAATTCGAAATCGACCTGTTTATGGGCTGTACATGCCCTAATGCAGCCACGAAAGTGGTTCAGGACTATGGCTACAAAGTTAAGAAGATTGAAAATGACATACTCTCTCCATTGAAATTACCGTTCAATGCGCTTGCGACCAACACAAGGCTAGTTATTTTACTTTCCTCAATGGAGATCTAGCCTTCTTGCATTGGTCTCTCAGCATGAGATTTGGATTAGTTATTACTCCGGGACGCAACTCAAAAAAAAAAATTGCTGAGGGACGGTTGCTATACATATACGTCGTTAAGCTCGCTCTCTCCATGTGCATTTTGTAAACCAATGACTGTGCCAAAACAAAAACAAGGCTAGTTAGGCTCCGATCCCGTAATACCCGGCTGAGGCGACGGCAGCAGCATTGAAGCGGGGGCACAGATTTCTTCAAGCCAACGTCATGCATCGGCTTCCATGGAGAAACAGAAACTGAATGCTTCACCGGTAATCCGCCGCCGCCGCGTTCCCGGCTGATACCCGGACGGACAGACGGGCAGGCAGCACGGCGCGCGCCACGAGGCATTCGCGGGGCTGCTGGCCTGACCTGCTGACTCCTGAGCCGGCGAGCTGCTGGACTGGACTCGACTCTGCTGTGTGCTTGTGCTACTCACTGCTCTGGCAGCTCTGCAATTCTATATCAGGAGCAGGAGCAGCAGCCAGCAGGTGAGCTCGGTGTCGGTGGTAGTATGACTCGTCACTTGCTGTGCCTCTTCTTCCTCAATCGCGTCATCTGTTAGTCAGTTGTTGCTCGCTGTCTCAGTTGAACTTAGTCAGGACAGGACTCATGGAGTCTCGGCGATCGCGTGGTCCTGCAAGGTTTTCCAGGCAGGTCCATGCCCTCTTCCTCAAGAACCTCTCTTTCCAGGTAACGAAATCTCTGGAGCTTCCACTTGCAGATGCTTTGTTACCATGCATAGATGTCATTTCAAGAAACGCAAGCAAGCAAATCCTCCTAGCTATAGCTGTTTACCGGAATGCATGGTTTTGCTTTGATGCACACACCACGACGTGTTCCCGGTGCACAGAGGAGGAACGCGAGGACGAACGCCGCGATCGCCGCGTTCCCAGTGCTGCTCTGCGTGCTCCTCGTCACCATCCAGCACGTGGTGGACAGCGAGCTGGAGCGGCCTCCGTTCCGGTGCGGCTGCGTCGGCACGGAGTGCGGCATCCAGTACTCCACGCCCATCCAGGCGCTCGCCTGCGCCGTGCCCGCGCCGCCGAGGTGGCCGCCGCTGGTGCAGGTGCCGCCCACCGAGGCGCGTGCACTGACGGGCCTGCACCCGCGGCCGTGCAACGCGTCGGAGAACTGCCCCGCCACCGTGCTTCTCACCGGCCAGAACCGCCAGCTTGCCCAAGGTACGTACAGACTTTGCGTGGAAATCTTGTGCATATTTGGTTGGGTGCTCATCTCAGATCATTGCTAGCTCTTTGTTCTTGCTGAACCTTTTTGGCAGGCCTTGGAAGCTTGCTGTTCCCACCAGTCCCCCCACAGTACGGACTCATGCCTGCTGCTTCGAATTCTTCCGACTACCTGGATTTGTTCTCGACAATAGTTCCTGTAAGTACCTTACCTTGATCAATCATTATTCATGATTATCGAGCTGCATTTTTGCAAAAGCTTGTGCTTCTTTGTTCTGATGATTCTGATGGGAAGGACTGACTGACGGTGAATTTCGCCTTCCAGGGTTCAAGCTCGCTGCCGGCGCATATTCTGTTCATTGAACCGGGTCTCGTTCCAAACGAGACCTTGTATCTGCTCCAACCGCAGTGCTGGTCAGAGTCACGCAATTTTTCAGCACCTTTTGATGGGATACCAATAGAATCTGGTAAAAAAAATGTTTCTATGCTTACTGAAAGTCTGAAATACATGTTTGCTTGTGTGGAAATAGGTAGTAGAGTGCACATTGCAGAGTTACATGCCACAATTTTCTTCTTCTACTCTATGCAGAATTTATGTACAAGTACAATTACTTCACTCTTATCTTCACTATATATGAAATGGACACAGATATGCAGTGCGTTCAAGCTTTGTTGTCGTGGTGCGACAATTCATCGGTGATAAATAACCATATGTTCAAGGGTTATAAGGGTGGGAATAAGAGGCGAAGATCTAACGAATTCCTCGCTGGTAGCCTAATCTGAATTCAGAAAAATTTGTCAACTGTCCTAATAGATTGTACCCTACAATTTTAATGTCAAGCAAACATTCCTATAGGTTATGACTTCCTTGATACAAGCAAGAGGCGCTTCCATGTATATGTTTGGTACAACTCCAGCTTCAGCAGAGATAATGGACACCATCCCATGACAGTTTTGCGTGTTTCACGGTTGGTTAATATGGTACTTACACTAGCCTACAATTTTTTTTCAATCAACTTTTTCAGTGAGAAATAGCTTAATAGTAAAATAATCTTTTCAGGTGTTTCTTATGATAGTGGGGAATGCAGCATGACTTACTTTTGTAGCTACTATTTCCATTGTAGGCATCCACTGCATATCTGAACTTTTTTAAAGGAGAAAATGCAGAGATGCGCCTCCAGTTTTTGAAAGAAATGCCCAAAGCTGCAGTTAAAATGAGGCTGGACTTTACCACTCTCCTGGATGCACTGTTCTTTACCTGGACGGTTCAGCTCCTCCTTCCAGTGAGTCAATTTTAACTTACTGAGCTTCGGTGAACTCATAAATAAGTTTGCTGATTTTTTTTCATGTTTTTGTAGGTAATATTGACATACCTTGTTTACGAGAAGCAGCAGAGACTAAGACTAATGATGAAGATGCATGGGCTGAAGGATGCACCTTACTGGCTGATATCTTACGCCTATTTCTTGGCCCTTTCAGCAGCTTACATGATGATTTTCATCATCTCTGGGTCCATTATAGGTACCAGTTAACTCCATGTTACTGAATTTCTTGGATTCACTCCGAGCAAATATGCGGGCAAATTATGCAGAGAACTCCCTTGGTCTTGCAGGGCTGGTTATATTCAGACTAAATAGCTACATCATACAGTGTCTGTTCTACTTCGTATGCATCAACCTGCAGATCGTGCTTGCTTTTCTGCTTGCAACTTTCTTCTCGTCTGTCAAGACTGCTAGTGGTTAGTAGTAAAATAAAACGTGCATTAAGTAATCAACAAAATTGCATGGTTCTCTCGATGGGCTTATATGGATGGATATGGATCATCCTTCTCTGTGTTACAGTGATTGGTTACATGTATGTCTTTGGCACTAGCCTTCTTGGTGAAGCGCTTTTGAAGATATTCATCGAGGATGCAACCTTCCCAAGTAACATTTTCGCTCCAGTTTTCTGAACTTATTTTTTAGATAAGAGTTTTCTGAACTTATAAATTCTGTAAAAAGCTTCAATTGGCATCACAAACTGTTTAGGACATTGGCTTGTAACAATGGAGCTTGTTCCTGGGTTCTCCCTGTACCGAGGAATATACGAGCTTGCAGAGTATGCCGCTGCTGGAAGGAACATGGGAAAACCTGGGATGCGATGGGTGGACTTGAACGACCCGGTTAACGGGATGAAAGATGTTTTGGTTCTAATGTCTATCGAATGGATAGTTCTCCTCCTTGTAGCATTTTTACTGGACCATAGACCTGCATGGCACTGGCAGCCTCTGTTTCTCTTTGGATTTCTATCGACAAAACATTCATCGCCATCACTTAAACCAAACAAATTGAAGAGGCAATCCAGGAGGGTCCATGTTTATACGGCAAAGCCTGATGTGTCCCTAGAGGTTAGCCAAGCATAGAGCTGAATTATTATACAACGAACATGGATAATTTTCTGAATTTATTCTTCAAAAAAATTACTGTCAGCGCAAGGTGGTGAGACGATTATTAAAGGATATGGACATGAGGAATATGATCATCTGCCATAATCTGAAGAAAGTGTATCCTGGAAAGAATGGGAACCCTGACAAGCATGCTGTTAAAGGATTGTCGCTGGCTTTGCGCAAAGGGCAGTGCTTTGGGATGCTGGGTCCCAATGGGGCAGGAAAAACATCCTTCATCAACATGGTAAGCAATAATTACTATCATGAATGCTTCTTCTTCTTCTTTCGTTATTGTGCAACAATTTTCAGAATTTATTTCCACATTGCTCATGGAATGCATATGCAGATGATTGGCCTTGTGAAACCTACTTATGGAACTGCTTACATACATGGAATGGATTTGAGGACAGACATGGACGAAATATACACAAATATTGGTGTATGCCCACAGCACGAGTATGATCACAGGAGACTTTTGTCAGTGGTGATGTTTTAGGTGGTTTTGCCAGTGCTGTGATGCTAACTAAATAATCATTTGCATTGTGTGTGCAGTTTGCTTTGGGAGCCTCTGACAGGAAGAGAGCATCTGATGTTCTATGGTCGGATGAAGAATCTCACAGGTGCTGCTCTAACACAGGTAGTTTGAACTTTGAAGCCATGAACCAACTAGAATAAATGTTTCAATCTACTTACAATATAAGAACTACCTTATACTGCTTTGTTTATGCGCATCTGAAATTACATATAGTCTGCAAGAGTAGATCATCTGATTTCTTTCTGCTACATGTAATGACTGGAACTGATTTTGTTTGATCATGAACTATATTGGCCGCTGATCCAGGCAGTGGAAGACTCCCTGAAGAGCGTAAATCTGTTCCACAGCGGTTTCGGCGACAAATCTGTAAGCAAGTACAGCGGGGGCATGAAAAGAAGGCTCAGCGTCGCCATCGCGCTCATAGGCAATCCTAAGGTTGTTTACATGGACGAGCCGAGCACTGGGCTCGACTCAAGGTCGAGGAACGATCTGTGGAACGTCATCAAGCGAGCAAAGAAAGACTGCACCATCATTCTTACCAGTAACCAACCACCCTCCTCTTGTCTGTTTTAATTTTTCAGTTGTTTACATGCATTGTCTTGGACCTTTCAGCATATATCTGCCTTACATTCGTATCACAGCACATTCCATGGAGGAGGCTGAGGAGCTGTGCGATCGCATCGGCATCTTCATCAACGGCAACTTCCAGTGCATTGGAACTCCCAAGGAGGTACGCAATGCACGCCTGCACATCGACCCACCAGAGAAACGAGATGCTGGAAACCACCTAATTTGGAGCCCAGTTTTACAGAAACCTTGTTGCGCGCTATGTTGCAAGATGCATGGTCATTAGTTACATCTTACATGGTGGCAAATATGTACAAAATGCAGCTGAAGGCGAGGTATGGCGGCACGCGGATCCTGACGATCACGACTTCGCCGGAGCACGAGGAAGCGGTGGAGATGATCGTGAGCCGGCTGTCGCCCGGCTACACCAGGATCTACAGCGTGTCCGGAACGCAGAAGTTCGCGCTGCCTCGGCGGGAGGTGGGCCTTGTAAGCGTCTTCAGAGCAGTGGAGGTGGCGCGGCGAGCGTTCCCGGTGCTGGGGTGGGGCGTGGCGGACGCCACGCTGGAGGACGTGTTCGTCAGGGTGGCCAAGGAGGCCCGGGCGTTCAACGTTCTGTCATAGTTAGTGTCAGGTTCAGAGGTGGTTTCTTGTCCTTTCTTATTCTGAGTGTCAAGATTCGGAAGCTCTCCGTTTCAAATTATAATTCGTTACTTTTTTAATCTTAAGTTTAACCACTCGTCTTTTTTTAAAAAAAAAATAAAATTGTACAAAATAGTCAAATTAAGTTATTCTTGAAGAATTTTTTTTTGTTAATAAAGGAAGCCACAACAAAAGAAGTAATATTTTGTACAAATTTTTTAATAAGATGAGTAGTCAAACTTAGAGTAAAAAAAGTCAAACAAACTATAATTTCAAATGAATTTAGTACATATTTTCTTAGTGCAACAAGGCATGCTATGATGGTGGGTTCTTATATATGTGGGTTCGTGTTGGTGCCGAGGATAGGCAGGTTCACCCTACATGTAGAACTAGACCCTGCGTGTTGGTGCGGAACTTGTAGAGAAGAACATGCTGCATTCAGAAACTATTAGAATGGATTCTTCATGAATTTAGCTCCAAATCTTAATGAAGAAGGATGATCCATATTCAATAACCAGAAACCTGACAAAACATCGATTAAACAGCTTATAACTCTTTATGAAAAATGGATGCACGTATATATAAGACAAAAATGTGTAAAAATGAAGTGTAAAAATGTGAGCTTCTCAGGTGCTCTCAAGCAACACAATACCCAGACTGGATTGGGCTAAACATGTAGGTCCCGCTAGCAAATAAAAGATCCATCAGAGCCAGCCATCCAGCACTATCTCCTCAGTGCTTCCACTTTCTCCGCCGACTCTGCTTCTGCCTCGCGTTCGCACACATCGCCGACCTTCCTCCGGACCTCCGCACGGATCGAGTTTCCTCCATCGAGATCAGGTCGTCGGCGACTTCTCCCCCAGCGGCTCTGAGGTGTCCTACAAACTCTGATCCGACATATATCAGATCAAGGTTGAGGACGCGCGAGGCGCGAGGCAGCTACGGTGAGCCCCTCAATCGTCGTCCCAGATCGCCGCGAGGTAGGAGAGGCAAATGCGCTTCACTGCTGAAGCAGTACATGCACATGTCCGGCTCCTATTTCCGGCAGTTCTCTATGCGCAATAGCATAGCGCCCCAAAATTTGTCTCTTTTGAAAATATGTTTAAAATAATTTATTTGTGAATGTTTGTGCACATGAAATATAAGAAAATAAAAATTTTTATTAAATTAAAATTCATCATAAGCTAGCAACATGTTTGAGCATATATGCCCTTGCATTTGATTTATTTGGTTGAGTGGCTTTGATTGAAAATTTTAAATGGTCTAAATTGCTTTTGCAAATGAAATTAAAAATAGCTTTGAAGTAAAAGAAAAAAAAAAGAGAATTAGAAAATAAAAGAATTTAAAAAGTGGTATAAATTTATGTTTGAAAACTTACTAAAATTTTTCATTTTGTTTGAATTGAAAAGTGCGGTTGAAACCCCATTTGAATTTGACTTTGGTCATATTTAAATTTGGATTGAAAATGGGAAAAATGGGAAAAGTACTCCTCCTCCCTCTTTCGTCCCAGCAGTCCGCCTGCTTCTCCCCACCCTTTTCCTTTTTCTCCCACGCGAGCCCAGCTCAGCCGCTTCCTTTCCCCGGCCTGCTTCTGTCCGCTGACGCTTCGGCCCACGCCAGCATGCAGGCCCAGCGTCACCCGCCCCTCTCTGCTTGTGGGCCGGCCCAGCCGAAGTTGCCGCGCCGTGCGTCCCCTTCCTCTCTCTTGCGCTGACCGGTGGGGCCTCCCTGTCAGGCTCGCCTTCCACCTTCGTCGCCGCTCTGGACTCCGCTGCCGCGCCGAGTGTCCGCGTCCATCCCGTCGCCGCATTGCCTTGCGACTCAAGTAGCCCGGTCTCATAAATACCGAAGCCGAGCCCGCGCCGCCCTCGCCTAACCCAATTGCAAGCCACCGCATCGCCCGAGCGCCCACAGCCACGCCGCAACCTAGCGCCGCCTCCACTTGCTCCGCGTCGCCGAGATCCGCCATGGTGAGCCCGCCGTCGCCCCCTCTCTCTCCCCATGTCTCCGGTTCGTCAAACGGTGGACCGTACGCCGAGAACCGTGAGCGCCGCTCGCTTCGGCAATGGCGCCGCCGTGTCGGTACTATTCCGGTGGCTGGCTTTCTTTTCCCCCGCTCCCATCTTATCTGCCGCGTTGATTTTAGATCCAACGGCCCAAGATCAAGGATACCCCTTTGCGTGGCCGTCTTACTAAAGAGCCCCTCCAGTTTTCTATTTTCAAACCCGCGGTCCAAAGTGCAATCACAGATTATGTTTTCTTATTTGGAAAGCGTAGTTTCATCGGTTTAGAACCAAAATACGTTTTCACCTATTTACAGTTTTGCCACTAATTTTGTTTTAGCCATAACTTCTCCGTTTTAACTCCAATTTGATCCGTTCAACTTACGTTAGGTTCGTATTTACATTATCTACATGTTTATACCACTATTAGATATGTTTTCAACTTTTAAAATTTGAGGTTAGATTTAATCTATTATTTTATTAAAAGAAATCTTGTTTAATTCATATCTTCTATGTTTTAGCTCCGAATTGACCCGTTCAAATTACGTTAGATTCATTGGAATGAGATCTACACGTTTGTAACTATGTTTATTATGTCCCCATTTCTAGAATTTCATGGTTTAAACTCTGATTTGGAATAATGATTATGCAACTGGATTTTATAAATAAAATATGATTTGTTTTACTTTAGTTTTATAATTCAAATCTAAATTTTAATTAATTCAATTTATATAAGCTTTTATATAGTTAAAACACATGAAGCTTATAGTGTTATATTTTCTCTTATGAATAGATCTTTCGGAAGCCGTTTCTTTCAAACCGTAGCTTCGATTAGCGTGCCCCTCACGTCTGTGTGTTCGTAGCGATGCGTAGAATCGTGTTTCAAATTCTTTTACTTATTTTTCTATGATTGGTGTACTATTCTGATTTAGTTCTATTGTTTGCTTCATGTATGATTGTATGGATGCTTGTGTGGTGCTTTATGATTACGTCCAGTCGGTGAGATATACGTGGTGATCAAGAAGAAGAACGTTGAAGATTAAAGCTTACCGAAGGATTGGTGTTTTAGGGCAAGTATAGCATGGGACCATCCTTGTTGTCCTATACACCTTTAATCATTTAATTCATACTTCACGTGTCTACCTTGACTGCCACTAAGGATTTTTTTAGTACTTTGTTACCTTGTACCTTGATACCTATGGGGTACTGCATTGGGTAGTATGATGCTAGTGCTCAACAAAAGCCATGATCTTATAGACTAATGGAATATGCAATAAACACAAAAAGATGCTTTTTAACAACATGGAACAAGGGCTAGAGCATTGGGTTGTTTTTATGGTGCTCTAGATTCCTCTCCCTAAGGATTTATCTATAAGTGATCATCCGAGACTTACAGTACAACTGTGAGGGCTATATGGCTCTGACTTTAGCTCAGTATGAGAACCTTTTCTAGCTTGTTAGAGGTTACCTTTATTGGCGTAAGAATGGCTTGTCGAATCGGGTATAGGACAGCATCTACTCTTATGTGTATAGCCGTGATGGAACTGTGCCATTCGACAGGGGGTTCCTATATCTGTTTGCCGAGTGAATCTAATGGTCGTAACTTGTTAGATGAACCTTTGAAAGGCTTCATAGTGAACCCTACCGACCTTCCTTGGTAGTGGGTCAAGAGGCTGATCACCTCAGGCGAAAGGGTAAATCACGAGTCACAGTGAAAGTGTACAACCTCTGCAGAGTGTAAAACTGGTATATCAGCTGTGCTCACGGTCACAAGCGACCTTAGAACATTTACGGAATAGATGATGAACACAGATGATACTGATGATGAAGATGCTAACTAATGATTACTATTTATGCTATTCATTATTCATGTTTACCTGATCATGTGTTTATATGGGCTTGTGATAAACTTGTTGCTACTCCTTTGCTAAAATTATGACAATTAAAAGCTAATCGCAGTTAAACCAGTGTTAGCCTTTTGAGCCTCATGAACCCCATGTTATATTTATTGAGTATGATATGTACTTACACTTGCTTTATTTTTCACATATTTGGATAAAAATCCCGTTGTCTTTCCCAATTAGGCTTGTGATCAACCAATCAGTTGTTCCTGTGGATTTGGAGTACTCGCCTGAAGATCAGAGTTGTGTTTCCGCTGTCTATACTCTGAGGTTATAATCTTTATACTAATACGCTATGTATTTGAGCATTGTCTTTCGATATTACCCTTATTTATAGCTATATGTGAGATTTGACTTCCTGAGCTCACATATAGTGCGTATCTGGTTTTGTTCTTAAAATCAGGTGCTACAAAGCGGTATCGGAGCAATGCTGACTGTAGGACGCAAGCCTAGATAGAACTGGACGATTTAGCATGCTTTCATCTCTGCTTAATTCTTGCTTTCTCTCTAACCTTGCTATTTGCTAAAAGTTATGCTCACTTCAGCCTCTGTTCTGTTATGAAAACCTTGTCTCTATTCTGAATCTTCTCTCTTCGTCTAAATAGATGGGTCGTAATGAGGAGACCACTAGCATCAAAGGTCGGGAGGATCAAGCTATGTTGGTCGTAATTGCATTCGACAAGGAGAAGCTTGTAGCTATGCAACAACAAGTACTTGAAGGAATGACTCAATATGGGAGTTCTCCACAGTGCTTGCCACAAGGTCAAACCAACATACCAAAGGGACCAGTGAAGAGACAAGTGGCAGAAGCTTGGAAGAAAATGAAGTCAAACGAAGGTGCTGGTAGCAAGACTCTCGGAAGTCAGTATCAATGTCAATGCTGCAAGCATTATGGTTTCCTTGTCTTCAGCGCCAGTCCAGCAAGAGGGAAGCCAAGGTGAACCCGAGTGGTGAAGCTAATGTGGATAAGAAGAGGAAGGTAGTCTCGCCAGCGCCAGAATTGGGAAGCAATCAACATTCGAGTTCTACTACGTTGTCACATCCAGCTCCCATCCCTAGTTAGATAAACTCAGACTCT